CCACAATGATAAAACAATGGCAGCTTAAGAGAGCTGCTACACCTTATACTCAGCGGTAACATGATTTTACTTAAAAAATTCTGTAATCTGCAAATCCCAGCCCAGCAATCTGGTAACGAACCAGAGTGTCCTGTATTCTGATGGTGTACATGAATTATACTCTGGCCTATGAAGATTACCTGATGAAATGTCGAGTTTATTAAGCTGCTCTGATTCCACCTCTTCCTTTGCTTCTCTCATCTTTTCTTTCATGCGATCTGCTGTGTCTTTAGACCTTCTTGCGATTTCGGATCTTGCAGCTGAGGAATGTGATTGACATGTTTTAGATGATTTTTTTTTTTGCGGCTGCAATGTCATTTTCCCTGCGTGAAAGACGAAAAGACTTACCAAGTTCATCTTTAAGACATTCTATTTCTTGCATTGTTCTCTTGTACTTATCTTCTATCGTTAATTCGGTCTTTTCTGAAGGAAAAAATTACGTAAGTTGATAGAAACAATTCCTACTGATTCGTCGAAATTCACAAGCAAAAATACCTAGAAAATAACAGTTTATAACTTACCATCCTTCTTCTTCTTTTTCTTCCCTTTTCCCTTTTTCTTTTTGGGCGGCATTTCTTCAGCGCAGACGGGATTAAGGCTTAAAATTTGTTCAAAATACTTTGATGTAATTTGGTTGTTAGGACGCCATCTTAGTTTTTTCAAGAAGTGTGAACTCAGCAGCTTCTTCACGGGTCATGCGCTTTTGAGGTTCTCTTCCGTGCGCAATCCAAGATGGCGTCGCTCAGAGTATTAGTCGGCTGCAAACGTGTCATAGATTACGCCGTAAAGGTTTGAGATGATTGTCTTTCAAACTGTGAGACCGTAGAAGAAGCTTTACGAAACAGTCTAAAATGTTGTTTTTACTTGTAGATACGTGTGAAACCTGATAAAAGTGGGGTAGTAACTGATGGAGTCAAACATAGTATGAATCCTTTTGACGAAATAGCAGTTGAAGAGGTAAGCTCAACATAAACATTTTCTTCACGTCAGTATAACTTTTAAATGGCTCCTTTTGTGGTTAATAACCGAATGATTGATGACACTGTGATAGTTATTATTATTGTCTTTTTGAGGGCGAATTTATAATGCCAATTGATGTTAGACCTGCGCGACTACTGAGAGCACTCTCGAAAGGACCCAAAAGGATGTAAGCGGAGCCAGTACCCAGTTATTAAAATGAAGCTAAATGAGGCTTAGATACGTTGTACCAGTTTCTGTCTACAATGATACTTTGTCATAGAAGAACTTTGCAAATTTAAGCCTCAAAAAATTACATTCAATTGGGGTTGTGTCAAAACAGGAATTATTTTATACAGTAGTAGTTGAATTGTTACACAGTAGCATAATGTGCCAAGCACTTGGTCATTTAAAGGGACCAGAAAAAACTGAATACAGCTCCCAGTCCTGGATTATTTTTTCAGGTTCATGACCCTGGGGAGTGCGAGGTAATCCCTATAGTGGCCTATACAGGGAGATTCTGCCTGAAAGGGGTACATTTGTACCTCTAACAGGCTTGACCTTGACTTTGAAGCAGAGCCTCTCTGATATAACTTTGTAGAGTGCTCCCACCCCCCTACCTGGGGTTCATGACATGAAGGGCTGCAGTGGACTTTTTAACAGCACCACCTTCCTTATGAGAACCAATTTTGTGTTTGGAAGCAAACAGTTTCTTTTTTTCTGTGACAGGCAGTTAGACTTAAAGAAAATGGTATAGCTTCTGAGATTGTTGCTGTGAGCTGTGGACCAGCCAAGAGTGAGGTAAAGTAAAATGTAAACCAGCTGAAATCCAGTAATAACATGATATATCTCTAAATACTTTTGATATTTTCATAGTAGAGTGGTCTAAAAGATTTTTAGAAAGAGCTCATACAGTCAACCACTCCACAAATTGCATTATCAGGGGTTTCATTAACGTTTTTAGCAGGGAGGAAACTAATTTCCACTGGCAGGCAAAATGTTTTGAACTGAACTTCTTTATCAGAAAAAAATCTCCTTTAGATGGTCAAACCAACCTCACAACTGGTCAATTTGCCAAGTGCATGCCCTTAGTGAAACCCCTGGCATGCGCATTATGCAATTTCAACCTTACATGGTAAAAAAAGTTAGCCTTATATAGTTAAGGTACACTGAACTAAAGGTTGAGTAGTCCAAGAGGTATGAGCACTGACCAGGTTTATTGTGTTCCTGGAAAAGACACTGGACTCTCCACTCAACTATATTGATGGGTACTAGCAGCCTGCTACCGTGGTCAATCAAAACCAGTGGCAAGCAGGCATTCTCACCTATTTTCTTGGACAATTCTGTCCAAGGGGAAAGGTGCAATGATGTTAAACCTATGTGAAGCACCAACCTATGACACAAGACCATAGAGCGGTTTTCAATTGAGTGTCGTAAAACCAAAACCAAACCAGTTACTTACCAATTAGACTACTCGGCCAATATCAAACCGTAGTAAAACCAAAACCAAAACCAAAGTAATTACCTGATTACGTTTGACACTCAATTGAAAACCGCACTATCACGACACCAGGAACTCCATGCCCCGCTCTTTGCGATAACTGCGTGGGTTCTTTAACATCCCCTGCTAACCATGTAACACTGCAGATGCAGGAGACGGAGCCTACAGTTTATAGTCATTATCCGAGAACACTTGCACATCAGACAATTTGCAGACACAATTGCAAAGGTAGCACATTTCCTCAGCTATTTTAAGACCCTGAGTGTGGGTCTGGGCTGGGGCTTGAACCCTCAACCTCCTGCACAGCAGTCTGGCACTCTACCAACTGGCTATCCAGGTGGCAGCTCTAACAGTGTTAGGCAGTGTGGCTCAAGTGCAACTTTACCTTCACCTACTTTACCTTCATAGGAAACCCTTCGTACAGCACTCGCCATGGGAGCAGATCGTGGTATCCATGTTGTTCTGAATGACAAGGAGTATGAAGGTCTTCAGCCTCTTGCAGTAGCCAAGCTTTTTGCGAAGATCACAGAACAAGAGAAACCTAGTCTTATTATCCTTGGAAAACAGGTGCAAGTCAAGATCATAATGAATATCAATAAATGAAAGCACTACGACTGCATTGACCATGGATCATGCAGTTAAAAGATTTAGCATATTTCTTATTTCATGCTCATCATGATCTGGTTGTTCAAAGGGTGGACAATTCTATGGATTGGCTAAGTCTCTGTCCAGTGGATAAGTATTTACCCAAGCTTTTTTCCTCTTTTCCTCTATTGCAAAAAAAAAAAATGATTAGAGAATGCCTGATTGAAGGTTATTACTAACCCAATGGATTACATGTACAGTGTGTCTGCTTTGACTGACTGGTGCCCGCAGAACATATGGTACTCTAATTCAATCTACCCCAGTTTGAGCCAACCTTATTTCTTGATGGTTTTTTTGTTACCCTTAACTAGTTCTTACTACCTTAGTAGACCCTGATACGTTTTCAATTATTTTTTTGCTGTAAAAGAGAAAACATACACAGTATCCTGAAATTTTTATGAAGGTCTCTCTTACAGGAGCTCAAAGCTGGTGAGGGACGACCCCAAGCCAACTATAACATTTTCCAGAACATTTGAGCAATAATTCCCAATGATACTAATAACAGAACCAAATAAACATTTTCTTGGTTCTTCCCACTGAACTTTAGAGTGTTCTCTGTCAAAGGTGCCAAGAGGCAGTTTTCCATTTTAACATTTCAGGACCCAGTTCGAAGGCTGGATAACGCAATCCGCCATATAAATTGCCATTCACCAGTGAATAAGTGTTCACAAAACAAACTGCATTATCCATTGGATAGTGATTTATCTAGTGGACAGCATTATCCATCCTTTGAACAACTGGGGCCAGATCTGTTATGTGATTATCACGATATTTGTTTTCTAAAGGCAATTGATGATGATTGTAATCAGACAGGACAGATGTTGTCTGCACTGCTGTCATGGCCTCAGGTAATATTTCTTAAAACTTTCTATCCTAGTTTATGATTCAAGTACAAGTTATGTAGAGTTTCAATGAACAGGTGCTTTTGCTAGGGTCTGCATTTAGCCTCTATTGCCTTAGTGAGTCGGATGGATGACTTTTTTCCTTTGACCAGAAAGGCCTCGAAACAAGAACTGGTATTATTTTATCTTGCGTTATAATTGTTGGAGGTGCAGTGACCTAATGGATAGTGCCCTGGATTGAGTAGTCCAGCTTTGTGCCCTGGCTGGGGTCATTGTATTGTTTTCTTGGGAAAGACACTTGAATCTCACACTGCCTCTTACCACTAATGGGTACTGGCAAACTGCAAATTGTAAGAATATCTTCCTCCAAATGTCTATCTGATTGTCTCTACTTACAGCTCTGTAATTACACTACTGCACTGTGGTTTTTGGGCCAGTGAATTGCAATTAATATCTTTAGTGTTCCTTTAGGAGACTTTACACTGTTAATCATTCTCAATTTGTTTCACATGTCAAATCTCTTAAGGCTGGTTTTCACTGGCGCATTAACATAAGCATAAGCTGACATACGCAGACACAGTAAGATGCTGATATTAGTGCTTTTTGTTAAGAAGCTCACAGCACCTCACCGTGTCCGTGTCTATGTTGTTTATGTGCAGGCTAATGTGCACTACAGTAGTTAAAACCAGCCTTTAAACCCACAGAACAGGACGTAGGTTGGAGTGGGGCACAGTTTGGGAGGGCAGAGCATGGAGCCCAGTAAACCATGAGTTTGATTTTAAGGTATTTTAATGATTAATTGTTGTGTTATTACAGGCAACAGTTTGATTTTAAGGTATTTTAATGATTAATTGTTGTGTTATTACAGGCAACATTTGCATCCAAACTGGAACTAAAAGATGATAAACTGGGTGTGACGCGTGAAATTGATGGTGGTCTAGAGATGATTGACGTGAAGATGCCATGTGTCATCACAGCAGATCTACGGTATTTAAAGTGTCTTGTGTACTCACATGGTAGAATGTACGATTTTGTAAGCTTTACTTGGAGATGGCAAACAAAC